AATTTTCTCGTAAAGTAAAAATAATTGAATTATTCGAGTCATGTTTTTTTTTTACAAAATTGAGCATGACAAAAATATTTTTCGATATATGAAAAGAAAAAGTTTTGCACTGGAGAGCAAACTTTGTTTTTATCATCATGTTGTTATTAACATTGTCGATAGAGTAAGAGTTTTTAATGACAGTTTCTAAAAAAAATATTTATAAGGTTCAATAAAAATGATAATTTAAAGGTTCAAGCAGATTTAAAAAAATTGCTGTCAAGCATTATTTGATTTGCGAATAACTTTACTATCAGATTTTGTTTTTTCCAATTTTTTTTGAAAAAGCATCAAATCCCTTAATTTATGTAAATTTATTTAACTTTTCATTGTATTAGCAACAGCAATTTTTTGACTTTAAAATAAAAAAGAAAAAATTGCTTTAAAATTCAATTTTAACATAACGAGACATAATCTTGTATTTTTTCGGTATTAAATGGCTAATATGACGTTCAATGTGTGATAAGCACATTTCAAAAAGTGTATTCTTACAAATTGTTACCAAATTGTGATTCATCAAAATTCTTCGAAGATTACAATTGTAAATACATTAAAAGTATTAAAAAAATTTGCATCAAAATTCTATTGTATTTATCCTTTCATTTCCTTGAAAATGTAAATATTTTAAATAAATTGAACATTCTGTTAAATCAATTGAAAAACAAACATTCCATTTAAATTCGTACAATAATCTACAGAAATATTTATGGAGGGGTAATTAATCACGCAGGAAATGGTGGATTGAATATTTAATTATAAATTAAGAATGAATGTAAATCATTACATTTCCCATCGAAACATCACATACGATCATTTATTAAGCAACCAAATTTGTTCATAAATTTGTTATAAGGCATAATCAATGCTTCAATTTGAAACTCATCATTCTAGTGAAAAAAATGTTTTGAAATTTTATTATGTAAGCAAATTATTTCCATTCATTAGGTAACTTTCTGCCAAAAATAAATTTATTTAAATTTTAATAAAAGAAAATTCCTAAATTCTAGTTGAACCAACCAAAAAAAACTTTTATTTAACTTTTCAGAAAATTTTCTGAAGTTCTTTAAAGATTAAATGTTCATTAAAGCGTAACTAAAGTCATATGGTTGAATAATTTCAATTTTTAAATCCATCTTTAATTGAGATCAAGTAATCGTATCAACACTGTTGAGATCAAGAAACGAGAATGCATTCAGAAAGGGGGTTCACGGGTTGAACCCCAATTTCCAATATGGCAAAAAACTTCTGTTAATTTTAATTAAATGAAACGTATAAAAACTCACTTATTAAAATTTCAAGTATAAAAAAATTTTCAACAGGTTGTTTTCTTTAATTCGATCAATATTTCTTTAGAGCACACAAAAAGTAAGAATAATTCATTAAAAACTTTAAGATACGATTCAATGATGTATCTCAAAAGTATGTAAAAGTCGATAATGAGTATCTTTACCAAAAAGTTTTTCAAGCACAAAAGAGTTCAAGTTTTTTAAAAGAATTGATAACGTTTATAACAAAAAGCTTCATAGTCATAATATAAAAGACACCCACGAACTCAATATAGGTTATACAGATTTCGTCATATCCCCTTAAGAAGATGCTTTAACTTTACAATCAGGACCGTTATCATCATGACTTCAAGTTAATTAGAAATAATTTTCATATTTTTCCATCCTTCGTTTTCTTCGTCTTCCATTTTTAATGAAAAAAATTCTCAAAGTCATTTTTCCACCGTCTCTTTTCATCCACAAAGAAATTCGGCTCATTTAATTGAAATTCTTTTACATGAAGAAAGTTACAATTTTAGTTAAGTGATTCTTCTATTGGGAAAGCCAAATGAAAATATCTTTTGAACCCTCATTTTAAGTTTATTGAAATTTTCCTATTTTTGACTTTTACTTCCTTTTCATATTTTTTTCATAAAATTAAATATTGAATTGTCTGAGAAAGTTACACAACAAAATTCTATAAAATTGAAGGAACATTTCCTTCCTTTCATACACTTGATTAATTTTTATTTTAAATTGATTTCCATTCAATTGATTAATTGAAATTTATGTTGAAATCGATGTAAAACCAAACTTGCTGAATATTTTTCAAAATTGTTGTGGTAAAAATGTTTTCATAAAATTTTTTTCAAGAATTTTTAAAATTTGATTTGTTTTTTTTTTTTGAAGGCATTCAAAACCTTTTTTCTAAGTTGATTTTATCAATCCATTTAATTAATATTTATTTCGTCATCTTAAACTTGATACGTTTTTATTTTTAAAAAGCTTCATTCCCTTGACATATAATGTTGTTAAACTTATATATCAGATCCATAAAGCCATCAAAACCAAAGATGGAAGAAAACTTAATAAGTTTTTATCAAAAAATCATCTACATACATTTTTACCGATATTGTAGAAAAAATATTGAATTATAAAAAATCAATAATTTTTTTAAGCTCACTTAAATTTAAAATGAGGATTTTTATACAGCCACAAGACTTTACCGACAAGAAATTTCTTTTTAAAATAAAATTAAATATAATTTTATTTTCTCAATTCTGTAAGATACACCATAAATAGAACTATAAACATGAACTCAACTCATGTAATTTTTCAGCTCAACTATCACATCTATATTTTTAATACTGTTTCAAACATTAAAATTGTCAATGTTTCTTTTTACCGATTTCATTTTTTTTTTACTGTGGAATACTTAATTTGATTTTTGGATCTTTTTATCTCATAAGAATTAATGCATTGAGTCCATATAAAGTATATCAATAAATGATGGATCAATGAAGAAATAGAATTAATATTGCCATCGAAAATTTCATAAAGAGCTTTATAGAGTCGTATTAAGAGAGATTTATAATTCAATTATATTCAGCTTAGTATTGTGGTGAAATATGAATTTATAGATGAGATGCGGGTTATTAATATTTGTGATAAGTTCTTAGATATTTTAGTATAATCTGAAAATATTTCATTAAGTTCATGAAAAGTCCCGATAAACATTTTAAAAGTGTCATAAACTGTTTTTTTCCCTATTGGACATCTGACTTTATATCATAATATCTCATAATTTTGCTTACTTGCGTAAATTAAGCGTATTTTGCAATTTTCTCAGCAATGCCTCAACCAATTTGAAATCTGTATTTTGTAGAAGATGTGGAACTTGGAACTTTTTCAGCTAATTTTGTTTCGTTTCCGCTCAAAATTCAAAAAACTGATTTTTTGGATCTGAACAAAAACAATGCATTCAAACGTGAATACGGTGTGAATACAAAAAAAGCTTTAACATGAAACTAAATAAATTTTGCTAAACAATTGGTTTATAATTAAAAATGACACATACAGCATCATCAAATAGCATACATTTCAACTTACTGTATAATTATTAACTTGAGTTGTTTAATTAGAACAAACAGTAAGACAAATGATATTCTGATTTCAATTAATTAACTTATGTCTTCATTATAAGACACATAAAACTTTATCTGCCAATTAAAGCAGATGTCTTCTTTCTCTCTTTGCTATTCCATTTTGCTTTCAACTTTTTTAAATTCATTTTTATTTTGTAATAAATTTTTTCTTATACTTTTTACTTTAATTGGAAAAGTTTTTTTTTTGATGTACATCCTCATTAAAGAAAACAATTTTGAACTAAACTGATGCTAGAATTAAATGTTTTGAACCTTAAAATAAACCTCTTTTTTTGTTTTTATAGATTTTCGATATTAATTCATATGGTTGTATTGAATTATTTGGAATCATTTATTTTTTTGTTTTTATAGATTTTCGATATTAATTCATATGGTTTTATTGAATTATTTGGAATCATTTAAAAACGAAATGAGAGTAATTTATCTAATATGTTTTATGCGTATAAATCAAATGAGTAAAAAATACATAGTAAGGTACTCAGAAGTCTACATTTTAATTAATAATATCACATTAAACAAGCCGTTGAAATGGTTTAAGGAAAGTTTTTTTGACAAAGATTTAGTAATATTTGTTTCAAATTATAAAACTGATTCCATCCTAACATGACAACTATGATAAACATTTAAATATCATTAAACATTAAGAATAATTTTCAATTGTGCCACTTTAACAGACATATTAATTCCATGGAAGCAATTAATGTAAAAGTTTTCACCTTGAAACTTTTCATGCCATTCTGAACAAGCGTGAAATAAAGTAAAATATGTTCATCCAGAGTGAAAGATGAAAAGCAGAGCAAACAGAAAATATTAAGAAAGTTTTCTTCATATATTGAGCACTTAAGTTCATTCTTTTAGTTCTGTTTTATTTTTATGAGACTGAAAAATTTTAAAGGTTAAAGAATGAATGTAAACATAAAAGTCATAAACTTTAATGACAGAAAAAAAAGTTTAAATTTTAAAATCCTGTATTTTTGCTTCAAAATTGATTGAAAGCTTATGCGATAAATTCTTCATTCTTCAAGTAAATAAGTGTGGTAAATTATATTACGATGCAATAAAAAATTAATTAGTATAAAAGTCAGCAATTAAGTCTCCACCATTTCAGTTTCATGAGAAAAACTTTTAGATCAACTTCAGATATCTAAAATTACGTTTCGAATTCGTTTATTTCACCCAAACGTTACAGCTGTCTTGAATTTCTAAACTACCAAGTTTGTTGAGAAATAATTATATAGCCAACTTAATGTTTATTTTACTTATTTTGAAGATGTTAAAAAGAGAATCAGTAGACAGTTGAAAGTTAAAAGAAGTCTAGTTTTTGAGTTTTTAATAAATTTATTATCGTCCAACTGAATTAGTCTTCAAATTGAAGTGCTCAATTGTATCGAAAACGCCAAAAAAATTGTTTCAAATTAACCAGAAACTAATTTTTGTAATACATTCATTTCTATATCATTACGGCATAATTCGCAATCATAACTTTACAGATTTATGTAGATTTAAATAATTTATTCAAAAACAGAAATTTGGATTATCGAATTGCTCTTAACATATTCATACTTAAGCTATATTCTTGGAGATAATTGCTTAAATTTTACATTTTCATTAATACTAAAATCACATATCTATCACATATTTCTACAATTCGTGTTGTTGACTTCTTCAATTTTCTGCTCTAATTCAATGATTTTCTTCCTCATCAATTTTACCAAATATGAATTATAATCCTCTTCCGTAATTATAGTTGGTATTCGAATATCTCTCGATGGAAACTTATCACTGCATTTTAACGTAATGCTTCTAATGAATCCTCTAATTTCTTGTCCATAATATACATAATTGATGCAATTATTATTCAGCAAATTTATTCCATACAGTCCATTGAGATTGTCGAATACATTTTCAGCTATTGTTTGAATTTTGTTATTAATTAATGATATGTATTTAAGATTTGAATTATGTGAAAAGAGTTCCGCTTCTATTGTTTGAATTTCATTTCCTTCAAGTCCAAAATCAATTAAATTATCACCAAATTGTCGCAAGTCTTCCTTGTGAATTTCTTTTAATTTCGAATATTCAACACTTACAGCTTTAATGTTTTTAAAGAAATGGGTGACTTTTTGAGGGAAATGATGTAGAATTTTATAGAAAACTAAGAAACCGAGTACACCATCATTGTCAATATCTGTAATATGATTCCCATTCATTGACTTTATTTCCACATCCGATTTCTTCTTAATTTCACCAATTTTTATCGCACAGCTGTACACAAAACCATAACTAGGAAAGTCTTCCGTATTGTAGAAGCATTCAAATTCAACAGCTGTTACAGCGATTGTGATTAGAAGAACAACAACTGAAGGAATGATAAATCTGTAAAACATTTTGATTGATTCAAAATCACTTTTTAATAAATCTGCAGCTCTGCTTATTAATTATTCGGAAACTTCATAGAATATTTAAGTCATTATCAACAAGCTCACAATTAGCAACAAAGTTTTCTCACCTCATAATATTTCAGAATTGAAATTACGTATGAAAAAATAGTAAACAAAGTGTTTATGCGAGAGTAAATCAGGAAAAAAAACTTTAATAAGATCTTCTTATACAACACTAATTCAATTTCGATTTAATTCAATTAAATTCTCAATTATTTTCACATAAATTCACAGCTTAACTAGCAAATTTAAAATAAACATAATAAAATCAAGAGAAATAAGTGATGAGCTAAGCAGTAAATAGCAAATTTTCGCTTGTAAAGTGAGAAGTCATTTCAACCATGCTGATAAGAGTATTAAATACTTGTAAGTTGATAAAAATTATAGAGCAAATTTTTTTCAATGTGTTAATGAGGGAATGAATCATTAACTATACACATACGATTTTTTTAAAGTTTATGAAAGACGAGAGACGTGACGCATTTGATGTTTCTATCTTTAGACCACTTAAGACTTGGAAGTTCCTTAAAATGCCATTTATTTTTACATTCACGTTCTAGCTACTTGCAATGCTTTATTTACATTTTGAAGTTCTTCAAATTATAAAAAAAAATCATATTTTAAATCATATTTAATAGAAATTCTTTTTTTTAAAGCATATTTATCTGTTTTATAAGTTAACAGAAAATAAAAACTTTACAATTTGATTTATGATGAATTTATTTCACAGTCTTTATGCATGAAAATATGCGAGGAAGTAAACAAATTAATATTTCCATAACAGCAATGATGAACAACTATAGAAATATTCAGGTGCCAAATCATGTTGAATTTTTATGATAATGAGATTATAAAAATGCGTGTAGGTTGATATCTTTAAGACTCAATATAATTACGTATACTTATTTATGCTTCTGAAGGTCTTATTAAGTTGGATAATTTTAAATTCAAAAAATGTGATTTTAAAACATTTTAAATTACTATAATTATGAAATGTTAAGGAAGATTAAGGACTTTGAAACCAAACCAAAAAAATAAACCTAAATGTGATTGAAAGACTAAGAAAAAATTAATAATAATTCTGTTAACATAAAAACACTTAAACAAACTTTATACAGAAATATTAAAGAGAAAGATTTTGAGACATTTTTTCGGTAAATTTTGATAACATCTCAACAATTTAATAAGTATATTGATGTCTTCTTATCAGTTTATTTTCCTATATTGCTTCTGCACATAGCTGTAATATATCAAATAAGAATTATAAAGAACATATATGCGCATATAATTTGTTACATGGAAAAAAGATCAATGTCAGAGCTTAATATGTTCTATGAAAAGTGAAGAGGCGTTTAGGGATTTCCTGACACTGATCTTTAAAAGTAGAAAATAGAAAAAAAAATTCTTAAATTTCTAGGAAAGTTATTGAATCCTCTCACAAATTACAGATGTAAATTAAAATATTATTTGTTGCTTGATTTAAAATAGTCCTTCAAGTGGCAACGATGACTTAACATTTTTATTCTTTCATTAAGTTTTCCTTTAATAAAAAATCTTCTCATTCATCATACTCCATTTCCTTTCTTCTCATTTCAAGGTATAAAATTCATCAACGAATTACAAATAAAGCAAGAAGTGGATGAACAAATACAAAGGAACTAAAAAAGAACAAATTTTATTTTCTCAAAACAAAGAGAGAGAAAGAGAGAAAAAAGAAACTGGAAGGTTTAATATTTATATAAACAACAAAGCTGGAGAAATAGACAAAGAAAAGGCAAAATTTTCTCTGTCATTGCACAGTCATACCTACTTATCTGTAATAAAGCAAGAATAAACGTTGAAATCCTTGATTGCATTCAGCGAAAGAAAAACGATAAGGAAGGTGTTTGAGGATAAAATATCCTAATAAAATGGGTAAGTCTTACGTAACCTAAAAATGAATTTAAGAACTTGTATGGTAGACAATTTTTCGCCTAATGCTTTTATCGCTAATATCATAAGGCTTTGTGAAATGTTCATGAAAAAACATCAAAAGACTCATTTTTCTTTCATAAAAGATTCGTTTCATATTTAATCTCTCGAAGATTATTGAATTAACTTGAGTGCTTAGCGTAAAAATTTTACAGAGCATACCAGATAAAACGTTATAGCCACCATCCATTTTCTTATCCTATTCGACTATACAAATTGCTTTTGAAACGAAAAAATTTCAGTAATCCTTTCTGAATTCAATCTATTTCCTTTCTGGGTTTTCATGGAAATCATTTAAAACCCAGCATAGTCCACGTGCAGATATAATTTTATTTACGGATACAATTTGTTGATGACACTTTTGCGACACTTGTCCGTTGTTGATTGTATTATGATTTATGATAATTTTAAATCAAACAAACTTTAAACTTTTTATGATTTTGGACAGAGTTAAATTCAATTAGATTATTGAATCCCACGTTGTTTTGCACAACAAAGTTGTCAAGAACAAACTTAAAGTTGAATTTTTCACCAAAACACTTGAAGCTTGCTTGAAGCATTGTCAGAATTTATTGCTAAGCATTAAGTTGTTACAACACAGTGTAGGAACAGAATGAAATTTGAGTGATAGCAAACAAATTTTATGTTGAATTTACTCAACGATATAAAATTTTATCCATGAATGATTTTTCACATCTTTTCATTCTATCACGTGCTTTGCTGTTTTGCCAATGAGAAAAGTGATTGTGTACAAGTTTTAGAAATATTTAAAAAGAAATTTTTAATAGAAACAGCATCAAACCTGTTTTAAGATTACAGTATTTTTGAAGGGTGTTGTTTTTATTAAATGAACAACACGTTTGAAAATGAACATTCATCTTTGGATGCGCCATATATAATTTAATTGGTTCTTCTTTATGCTTTCATAAAACTAAGCACAAAAGATATTTTTTCAATTTTTATATTCTTCAACTAGACATAATTTTTATACTTTATCTAGTAACATTCTTATTTGTGTTGTTACAAGAAAGAAGATATAGGATAAAAAAAAATATAAGCTTAAAGCCTCAAATAAATATATTTATAAAATACATGGATGATCCAATTTGAACAATTGCGCTTTGAGCTGCATAAACTCAAGTAAATATATATTTCGGCTCACCTTAAGCGATGCCTTCATCACCATTCAGACAAATTTTAAAGCTAACTGCAAGAGTTGATCAAAACATGAAATTTCAAGTATCCAAAATTTATCGATTCCTTTGCTTTTTCATGTGAGAAAAATCAGAGATCGAAGCCGATTTTTTCGGCTTAACTCAATTTTTGATTTTTTTGATAGAAAAAAAGCCATTTAACACCCATTTTAAGTATTTAAATTGAACTTTACATGCTTTACTATGATTCTGTGAAATATTTTTTCAGCATGTAGCTATAGTAAGCTCTGAATTTCAATTTAGCCGATTTTAAGCCGATCGGCTTAAATTTCGGCTTAACATTCTTTAACTTGAAATTCTGAGCTCACTATAGCTACATGCTGAAAAAATATTACACAGAATCATAGTAAAGCATGTAAAGTTCAATTTAAATACTTGAAATGGATGTCAAATGGCTTTTTTCGATCAAAAAAATCAAAAATTGAGTTAAGCCGAAAAAATCGGCTTCGATCTCTGAGAAAAATCTTTATGAACTTTGTGAGAAAAAGGCACACGATAAAGAACAAAGAGCTTTTTATCTTTGACAGCATAGAGGAAAAGGGATAGAAAAGTGTGGAATCTTTAAAAAAGTTTTTACTCTTTTTTTAAAAACTTTCATGGAACTGAGAGAAAAATTCATTTTAAAAGTAAAAAGAACCTTTAGTGTCAGAAGCAGTCACAAAGATTTTTTTCTCGTTTGACTTGAAGTAAAGCTCATTAATAGTTATTTATGGTTAGAATATTGCATTTCATACGATGATAAGGGATTGGTTCCTTACGAGTATTTGTATTACTTAAAAATTTTACTACTAAGAGATATGTCATTCTTACTTAGTGGTTTACTCAAGCTTTTCTCTTTAAAAAAAATCATACAACTTTTTGATTAGAGAATTCAAAATGAATCTTTATTTCAAAGTTTTATAGTTGTAGAAGGACGTTACCAGAAAATAGAAATTGTATGATCCTGTTTCACAACCCCCCAATTACAAAAAATCTTACATTAAATATGTTTAAGAATACCACTCTTATTAAAACGGAACACACGTCTGGATGACTTTTGATTAAAAACAGGAAGTAATGTCCGTTGCGGAAAATTGTCACACAAATGTCATATGTCTATATTATAAATAAATGTTCATGTCACAACTTACTAAAAATAGTCCTGAGGAGCATTTAGAAAATGTTTTGTGATCGAATTACAATGTACAACTGAAGGATACTTCTGCATCATGACAATAAAATGGTACATTGTGTTGAAGTGAAGGAGATTAAATTACGTGTAACATTAGAAAATGATAATTGAATTGAAATCATACTTATGCATGCATTGAAGCATCCTTTAGAGAATAAAACTTTTTACTCTATATAATATACAGTAAAATCGTAAACTTAATGAAATTTGATACTGGCAAATGTACATGATTGATTGATTTATAACTTCTATCTACAATCTAAAAGTTATTTATCTTTAGGCACTGCATCAAGGAGTCAACTTTGAAGAAAAATAATGATTATTTCTGGCCGAAGCTACATAATGATTCTTACGCAAAGTTTAATGCAGGGGTCGTTAAAATCTATATTTATCTTTCTAAAATGATTGACTTTCATATATTTTTCTAGTCCTAAATTCAAGTAGAACCAGCAACTTCTTATTCCTTATTTGAAACGAAATTGATGCACATCACTTTGCTGTTTTTTGTGGATATATTTTATGTTGACTGAAAATCTCAATAAACTATTCAATCAATCAAACTTTACAGATACATCTTAAGGTTGTCTCCTTCCAATTTTCATTAAAGCTATTATTAGACTGATACATAAATCATTGATCTATTAGATAAAGATGAACAACGATATGACCACTATCATCGAAAGCAACAAGTTGCTTTCCTATCTCATTTATTTACTTCTGCTTCTTCTTATTCATATTCACATCTTTTCAAATGAATATCGATGATGTAGAAAAATAGATTTTATTTATGTACATATGAAAGTAGAGGAAAGGTTGTAGTTATATTTTTATTAAGGGTTGTCTGTGTCGTGCCATATTTTATCAATCAATATAATAGCAAGTATAATATAAGATAAATGTAACCTCTTGGGCTATAAAAGCAAACTTACCTATGGGATCAAAAGTTCTTCATCTTAAACCGAATTTTCTCATTCTTAGTATTTTCTGGACTAGTTTTATTTTATTTTTATTCAATGACTTTTACTTTCCTATCTAAAGATAAATATGAATGGATAGACATTTTATGATCTAGACCGACCATACATAAAAATGATCTTAAAGTTTTTTTTTTGCAAAAATTCATGTGAAAATTAAATAGAAACTAATTTTAAGTTTAAATTAATGAAGAAGTTGCAAAAAATTTAATGAATTTAATTTTTGTCTTTTTGAAAATATTCTTATGTTTTTCAATGTAATCAACATTTTTGTTTCGACTTGAATTTCACGAAGAATAAAATCTTTCAATGTGTGACATAGAATCTGAAAAAAAATAATATCTTAAAAAATCTGAGCTGGAATAATATCAGATTTAAGATTACATTAAGTTCCTACATTCATGATTAACTCTTTTAAAAATAAACATCACTAATGTCTGCCTCGAAGCATGTACGTTCAAGACTTTTATCACTTTAACTTGATTTTAAGCATCTGATGTGTCAAAAGATTTTGGTTCAGGGAATATCCTAATTTCAATATCATTAAATGTTTTATCCTCTATTTCCTTGAATGAATTTGAAAAAACAGAATCTATGTAAAATCATTCGAAAACAATTTAGGCAAATATATAGTTATTGCTTAGGGTGTTTGCTGATATACATGATAAAGGATTTAAAACTCAAACGATAAAAAAATATTATGTTTAAAAACCGTAAAAATTCAATGAAGTATTTTTCATAAAGATTAGAAATGAGTTTCATTTCAGATAATTTTTGTTTTTCTGTGAACACCAGCCTTTCGATAATTTTCTGATTTTGAAAAAAATCAATACTTTTTTTGTTATAATATTAAAGCAACATTAATTGATATTCTTTAGTTTAAATCTTATGTTAACATTTATACATATTATATTTAATGAGTCAGTGGTTTTGAGGTCTGTACTCTGTACTTTTCAGCATACGCAAAACTCAACTTTTCCTCTTTTTATTCTCCAATATCTTCATATTTGACTATCTTCATTTTCACATTATTTTGAGCTATGAATATATATGTGACAAGCATATAGTTTAAGGTATTGGGTTGAAAAATAGATTTCTAGAATTTTGAATATTGACAAAAGTTTTTTTTTAAAATCATTTAATCTTCAAAATGGTTTTGTAAATTTGAAACTTAATTCAGCAAAAATAATTGTTAAAAAGAGCTCCAAAATTAAACTGCCGACCCATTACTTCCTGTGAAAATTGAAAACTGTAATGTAAGATTTTTAGTAGGAGTGAAACTTTTACATCCAAGAAATCTATTTTGAGGCTTACTTTTTGATCAAAAGAGGAAACGTGAGTAGAACACACAAGTAAATAAAGTTTAAAAACATTTCAATGCAGAGGAAATAAGAAGAGAATTTTATTCAACATTCTCTATTTATCTTAAAATGCCACAAAGTGAAGGAATGGGAAGGCAAAAGAGAGTAGAAAATTCTTCCTATTCACCGAAATAATTCATTTCATTTCATTTTGATACTTAATTGCTTTCTCATTCAAATCAATGCCAACAGATTCTTCCTCTCTTCCATCAACGAACACTCGATATTTAATGTTGTGCAGAAAGCGTACAAAAACGAAATTAAAAGTCATTAAAGAAGTACTTTATTCTGTATATAAAGGAGAAAAATTAGAATTGAAATTCAAATGATGAACATGCCACAAAATGGTAAAGAAGAGCATTTAAAAATGAAAGAGATGAAAAAATTAAATGATGATAAAAAAGAAATTAGAAAAAAGCATTGAATCAATGAGTGACAGAAAATTTTAATTGTTCAGAAACAATTGGCATGAAACGGAAGAAACTGTTTCATGTAAAAAGTGCAAGCTAAATGATTAGAGTAAAGTAATCATCATAGGATACGAGCATCCGGTATAACTTGTTAGTATTAAAACCAAAAGAAGCTTTATAAAGCATAATGAAAAACTTTTAACTCTGACTTTCTGCTCGATTTAATCATTTCCGCTAGCAAAATAATTTATTTCTTTTTGCTTTCAAATACTGTTCTATTCTGCTTGTCATTCTTGCATAAATTAATGCAATTTATTCATAGTTTTAAATTTAAATAAATGCATATTAAATGATGCTTAACCGGGATTTTTTTAAATGCCAGTTATGGTGACATTTAATCACATCCATCAAATTTGTAGAATCAATTGTTCAACAGCTTACCTTTATAACCAAGTTTGCTCTATTAAAATCATTTTAAAAAAAATTAAATACTCGCTCGGATATAAATAATAAATAAAATGTACACAGAAGAACCCATGCCTTTCTGTGATTTAATTTTCTGATAAACAATCAACACATTATATTTTACTCAAAAAAAAAAAAACGAAACGAATTTGTTTATGCTGAAGTCTGTAAAAGAAAAAGCTTTTGCATGCAACTGTTTTTTATACTGTTTGATTTTATGCCCACATAAAAAAGAACAAATTTACTCACTATAGGAAAAGAAATACAATGGGCTTAGTATGTAAATGGAAAAGCAGTCCTGTTTTTTTTTTCTCTTTACAGTAAATCGCTGCAATTTATTTCCATATTATTTGCTTTTATTCATCTTTTTCAAATTGAATGTCAAAGTCGTCGATTTTTATAAAGATTTGGGCTATAAATAAAATTTATATTGTACAAAAATCTTTTAAACATACAAAAATTGTCTGCCTTTTGACGTCTGAGTGTTAGCAGTACCACAGACTGATTTGATGCTTTTAAAAATGAACATCATTTATTCTCTAAATTATTTATAGATACCACAGAGTATGTTTCTGAAAAAGTTTTGAATTTAATAATTTCACTAGGAAGAGATTCATTATTTTTTAAGGAGACTGCACATTTTATTTGTAAAATATTGTCATCTTTATTAAATTCTCTCTTATTATCTATAATATCCTAATTTAAACTAACTCCATGTTGTTGCATTTTGTGTTGGTTTAATAATGTACTTGAATTAAATGATGCATCACAATAATCTAAATCACAATGATATTCTCTTAATCCAACGTGATGAGATTTTTGATGGCGTCTTAATGCGACTCCAGTAAAATATCCTGGTTTATCCGGGCACAAAGGACAGAAATGTATTCGCTTTGTTTCATCATGATACATCATGTGCTTTTGTAAAAGAGCCTGGGATTTATAGAAGTAATAAAGATAAAATTTTGAAAATTAATGCTTTTGTGAAGAGAACATAAGGCAGAAAATAAATCATGATTTATTCGTACTACAATAAAGACTAAGCCGATTATGATTTATGTACTGATACTTTTATGATACTAATAGAAGCTACTCTTTAGATCACAATATTTAAACGCCAATTGAGGGTTTTGCTTATTTGAATTACATTTTTTTATTTACCTTAGTTCTGAATACTTTTTCACAAACATTACACGGCGTTTTTTGTACTCGATGAACATTTCTCATATGATTGAATAATGAGCGTTTTGTCGGTCGTTCTTTATTGCATATATCACATTGAAAAACTTCTCCTTTTGATCCCACCAAATGTACATTTTTCTTATGTGTTCTTAATCCTTGACTGTTTGTAAATTCTTTTCCACACAGCTCACAAATAACCTAATTTAAACAAATAAGGATGGATGTAAATACTTAATTCAAAAATTTATATTAGTATAAGCTCTTACAGGTCCTTTTCCCGAAAAAATTGGCGCTTTTTTTGATCCGCTTTCATCACTGACTTTAACTAAATTCCGAGCATCGTGAAACATTTTATGAACAACATAGCTTTTGAGATTTTTACATTTTTTATTGCAAATTTCACATTCAATTATTTGTTCTTTTTTCATCGATTCCTTACTACATTGCTTACAATGACTTTTAAATTGTGATTCGGATGCATTCAAGTATTGTTTACAAATAGGGCAGTATTTTTTTGACTTTTTTAAATGCCCGTGAATTTTCACTATATGCTGATTGTAACCACTTTGCTTTGTAAAAATTTTTGAACATCCTTCAACCTCACACTTTACTTCTTTCACTTGGCAATCATGTGCTTTGTATGTCTTTCTACCGGCAAACTTTAATCGACAGAAAAAACATTCGTAAATTCGATATGCATTAATATTTCGATCGGGGTTCTTAATAATTGCTTCTTTATCAACAATATTATACTTGTCTTTCTCATTGAATATCATTTCATTATCATTCCTTCCGATTATACATTTATTTTCTGCTTGTTCAACACTTTCACTAATTCCGACTACGTCATTTGCATACATTTCTTCATTATTACCCTCTTCTTCCTCAGTGTCATCGTCTTTCATATTATCTGAATAATCATGAATATATGAATTGTCGGCTTGGTATTGTGAACAACCATCCTCATAAACAACATCCGCTTCTTCAAGATGTTCTTCTTCTATCATATCAAAGTGTGGCACATCAGTTTCGGGTATGTCGTCTTCATTCGTCTCGATTATCTCAACTTTGTACCATGGTTTTTCTTGTTTCTTTGTATTTTGAATTTCTTCAATTTTTTGATCCAGTTCCTCAAGTTCAGCAATTATATCACTTTGTGCTTTTCGACATCGTCTCTTGTAGCTGTCAATATCTACAATTTGTTGAAAACATTTCTCACAGATTATTTCACTAAACATGTCATTGTGTTGAATCTCAATGCCGATCATTTTGAGAAATTCGACAACATCTATTCGATATGCTTCCAATTTATTTATTGGTACACACTTTATGTCTTTGTCACATTCAAAACAAAACCGGCACAAATTTTTTAAGCTCTGTATTTTTGTTGTCCTCTCGAAGAGAATCTCTTGCTCTCGCTCAACATTTGATGTTGCGTAGAAAAAATCAATACTATCAGCATTAACGTATTCTTGAGTATTACAGTCGTATGGAATCTATAAAAAAAAAAATAATAACAAATTGAATTCTTTCGCAAAAGTTTTGTATCACAACAAATTTTACCTCAATTTTTTCAAGTTTATGTTTTGATTCCCGATAGTAAATTGTCGGAACTGAATTTTTGTGTAAATAAAGTCGTCCTTTTTTCTTTTGAATAAAGCAATTTGATGTAAAATGGTCTTCACAAATTGCAGAATTTTTCGGATCAAATAAATTTCCTCTTCTTGTAAACTGAATCCATAATTTCCTGATTTGATTACTTTTATCACTGTCCTTTGGAAAACGAAAAAAATGTTTACCTCCATGACTTGATGGTTGTGAACGCGACGAGCAGTTTGTAACAGCACAAACAACCATTTTGTAATGAAGGTTTAACTAAGTTTCTTAAATAAATTTTTAAAAAAACTTCAAACTACAGCTGTTTTCATTTTTAAGTCATTGTATTGGTGAGAACATGCGCTGTTTACGTTACTTTCATGTATTATGGCTCTTATGAGAAAAAAAAATCTTATTGGTATTGGTATACATTTTAAAATAAATTCCGTTTTAACATTTGAGAGGTTCTGAAAGGCAGAAACAAATTTGATAAGGTTTTAATTATTATTTAATTTCTGAAAATTTCTTCACATTACATAAACAGTCTTAGCATGAACATCAGATGCAAAGAATCATATTTACGTATGGGATTATTACCTTAGATTAGATTTGCCTTAATCTTGGTATCAAAGAATATCCTCAGAAAAATAAAACAACAGTTTAAAGCTTATGCCGCGGGATACATTTTCATATTCTTTCAAAACAAGAACAAACACATACCATTTCTTTTGTTCTACTTATTGGTGGAGCACGTTTCTCTTATTTTGATCAACAGGCATTTCAGCCTTGAACAAAAACCTGTTGCTTCTTTTAAATCCTACAGCAATATCAAATTTAATGAAAAAGCATTTTTACAAACCAAAAAGAAAGTGCAAATACAATTTATTGGCAAGACAGAGAAGAAAATCTTGAAGCACAATGTTCCGTTTTCATTCATATAAGCTTTATTCAATTTAATACATTGTAAAATTAGACGATAAAATTGATTTTTGATTCAATTTTTATTGAGCTATTAATAGCTTCTGTAACCGTATTTTGAAATATGCATGGTTATTGTGAACAATAATATACCAACAGTCGATGAATATTTTTATTTATCAATGTAAAGTCATCAGAATATAGAATGAATGAATGAAAGAATGAATGAGAATGCATGTAGGAAGTAGTGAAATGAGATATCAGTGAATATTAATTGTGCATGAGATATTTCAATTTTAATTTCAATGAATGTAGAGCCTTTTATATCTTCTTTATTATTGTCATTATTCAGATATGCATCTATTCAAGTTTGTAGACTGATATTCTATTTCAAATGATGATAAAAAGTTTTACATGCTCTTGATTATTTTCAATTAGGAATTTTCCACATATATAATATTGTAAAGGTTTATGATAGTTTTCAAATTAAGAGTGTCTCCTGGACAATCTTTAAAGTGTGATACTTCTAAATATTTACTTATGTACTTATGAGACAGATTAAGCATTTAATTAAAGTCATCTGGTTCTTTACTTTACTGAAGTTTTCCTAAATTTTATGTCCAAGAATCGAGTTTTTAATCTTCTTACAAAGATTACAATCTTCGTTTTTAAAAGATTATAATCTATCGGAGCCTTGAATTATTCCCATAAAATAATTCAATTAAAATTAAACGAATCAGTTATTACCCATTATGATGTTTAAAAATTTAAAAATTTTCTAAAAGATCAAGTATATAAATTATCATTGAAAAGGAACATCCCAATTTTCACGAGCCTAATTGTAAATAATTTTTATGGTCATTCTTTTACGAGCAAAAAGCTTTTATGCTCGTAAAATGAGGCGAAATATCTTTTTATAATAAAACAAATTTTATTCGTAAAAGTACAAAGTATTTCGTGTAGGAAGCCAGATAATAATAGGCATTTAGTCCTAAACGTTGCTTTTAAGCATAAAATCCTATTTTCTAATTCAATGATAATAAAAAAGTACTATAACCATACGCATGTTAATGTCGATGAATATGGTAAAAAAAGAATAAAAAGCATTTGTTCAAATTTTGAAAATAACACTCGGAATTCTAGGAATTAATTTACTAGAAAGTGATGTTTGTGTAGAATTTCAATTTTATGAAAAAAAAGAACTTCAGTTTTAAATCTACATTCTAACAAATCTAGCTTAATCCTGTTAAACATTCATAGAAACATTCCAAAAACCACACGAGTCACCAGACAGACTATTAATTCAGAACTTCTGGCTTGAAGGCTAAGTATCGTTTACCACTACAGCACTTGAATCCTACAGCAAAATGGTAAACCATTTACAAAATACCATTTCCAATAAAACAGACATAATATGCTTTTACGATAAGCTTTTCTATCCTTTAGGCCATGAACAAATTGTGATGAAAACGAGCTGGGTCTTTGATCATTAAAATAAAATCCACTTTGTGGAAATAAAATGAATTGAAAGTAAAAGAACAAAACAGAATTACTTGAGAAAATTCTCAACTATAAAGTACATCAGTCTAATGAGAGTACAAGATGAACAATTTATATCTTCTTATTTTGGACCGAACGTAAATTCAATTTGGTTATGATAAAATTATTTTAAAGCTCAATCATGCGACGACAATAGCAAAATCAATTTATTTTTGACATTTTGTCAGTTTATTAAAGGCTTAATAAAGTTTAAATTTTGATTAATGTTTGTGTCTCAATAAAGAAGTATTAGAAGTATGAAAAATGACGATGATGATGTTGATGTCAGATGTTCAATTTGAAAAATTTCCACATTTTCTTTTTTATTATTATGTTGTTTTTGCGTTCATTGGCAAGAGAAACTTTGAAATCCCAAAAGTAATCTTCAATATTTCCTTAATATAATTCTGCCATTGAGTCCATCCATCACTTTTATATTTCCATTCGTCATGACATTGATGTTGATGCACATCTAGATAAGGTGTGGCAATCGAGTGTCCTTGTTGAACGTCTTAAGAAATTGAAACGTGAATGTTTCATCAATTTATGGATTGAGAAGTGACTGTGGATATAAAAAGAAAAAAAAATGTAGCTAAATCTCTTCTCCACGTATTTTAAAGTGAGGTGCTTTTCTCATGCGTACAATATTTTCATGTGATTTTTTTATTATTATTAAAGTCTACGTAAGAAATTTATATGACAATCAACGTTTCCTTTTCTCTTCTTCTTTTTTACATCTTTCGCAATATGTCGTTTAAGATTGAATCTTTTCCTCATACAGAAATTCGTTTTTTGGCTAACTTTTACATTATTACGATTATTGCGAAGTTTAGTTTCTGAGAAGGAAATTTCTCACGAATGTAAACGTGAAAAATCTTGAACAAATTATCAGGTTGTTGGTATAATATATGTGACTCAACAATGCATATAAAGGAAGTAATATATTTATATTGAGAAATAAATTTCCCTAGCGAAGTGAGTTGAGGATCATCATTTGCTTTATTTGATTACCTTTGGTGAACTTTGGTGTTTCTAGTATCAATGGAATTCAAAGAGCGAAATGAAATTGAAGTATTTTCTGCATTAAAAACTTTTCACGATGACTTGACACGATGTTTCTGGATGATTACCAGATCTTATTGCATTAGATTAATATAATCTGATGTTCACTGGATGTTATTGTATTGGATTAATTTAGTCTAAACGTTTCATAAATCTAATTAAATTGGGAAAAATATGTCTGATTGTTAAATGGATCTTTAAATATGACGGGAGACTACAGTTATATAGAAGAACCAATTTCATATGCATAAAGTTTAACTTAATTGAAAACATCAGTGAATATTCAATATCCTGCCTAAAACTATTTTAATAAATCACTAACGGTTTATGAGATAATAAACACACATTCACCCATTTATAGCAAAAGTTTGATATTTACATCATACCACAATATTGTGGATATTATATAAAGTTTTAAGGTTAAGTTTTCAATATTTTAATTAAGTTATGACAAAAGTTTATTTAACATTCTTAACTTCAGAAATAGCAGCCACCATAACCCTTTCAATATACATAAAAATACATAAATGACAGACTTTGGAATAACTGGAAATGTTCATAAAATCATCACAGAAAATCACAAATCTCTTCAAATTTTATCATAAATAAACGTTGAGCTCAATAAACAAATAAAAAAGCTAAATTTTGTTTCTTCTTCAAGAGATAATACAAAATTGAATGTCAATAGAAGAGCTGAGCTTTTTTTTATTCCACAAAAATATGCGTGGGTTGTATGAATAAAATTATCTTCATAAACCTAATCTTTCAATGTTTAGAAAAAGGATTTAAATCAGATTGTATTCAACATACAGTGTTCAATATTTTTAAATGCCACACAAAATACAGAGACGAAACTGAATATTGAATAATTTTTTTTGCATGATTCGCAAAGCTTTATGAAAAAGTCGATAAATTCATATTTAGAAAATTGTTTAAGAAATTATGCTGACGGAAATATGTTATTTCTTTAAAAAAAACTAGGAGCACAAAAATGTATTCATAAACGCTGAATTGATGAAAACTGAGTGAAGAAAAAAATTTCAACGTCAGTCAAATCTATTTGCTTATCAATTTCCCTCTTTACATCCGACAAATAAGTGATTTTGATTGAATTTAAATTCTACGAGGGAGTAAAATGAATAGAATCTTCTGTATGAATAGGCAGTACATGTGTATGTGCTTTAGAATAAACAGGATTTAAGAGATTTCCAATTATATTATTTTTATTATTGTCTTTATGCCTGAAGCAACTGCGATTAATATTGCAAAAAGCTCATCATTCCTCGTGTAATTTTATGGCATTTTCTCATTTCATTGCCGCAAAGCATTCTCATATTTAATAGGAAATGAGGAAGAACACTGATTATAATCGCTTTTATACATGTGAATACCTATAATATGGTGTTTTTCACAGTGTTGCATTCTGGCTATTTGTCTGGATCAGATAAATTCTGAGACAGAAATTTCTTCATAAAATCGATTCTACATGTAGAAAGAAAAAAACCATCTACATGTAGATTGTGTCTACATGTAGAATCTGTCTACATGTAGATTTAATGTAGATGTCTACGATTCTACATTCTTCTCTGATGTAGACCTGGAAAAAATGTAGAATTATAGACATCTACATCGAATCTACATGTAGACAGATTCTACATGTAGACGCAATCTACATGTAGATGGTTTTTTTCTTTCTACATGTAGAATCGATCTTTATGAAGAAAGTTTCTTAGCTAGACAAAAACTATTGAAGAATCTACATTCTTCATCTAGTGTAGACATCTACATTTGCAACACTGGTTTTTCATCTTTCTCCTAGTAGATTGGAAATTTTCTCTAAGTGCTTTTGAACCATTTTAAAT